TGATTTCTAATATCTCGTAACTGGTGGGTAGACAGACAGAAAGAGTGGAGGATAATGGAAATGGGGGGAGAAGTCAAGGGGTGGAGGAGGAGGACACGAACAAATATAAAAATAAGTGCGAATCGCCGAAAGCAGTCACGACAGAAGGCACGACAAATTGCTACACGGAAGCAGATGCTCGCACGCGTTCTCGCGGACGCTTCGTTTCTTTCTCTTTCCTTCCCCTCTAACCGAGCTCTTCGTCGATTAATCGCAAAGAACGCAGCCTGCGCGTCACGAATATAACGAAATGATCGATCGTGAGGCAGCGTCTCGTGCAGGGGAACGAAATATCACTTTTGTCACGAAACACGATAACTTTCTTCTTCTTTCTTCGATTACAGTCGAATCTCTCGTACGTAAAGACCTTACTTTTCGAATATCTTCATGTTTTGTCACCAAGATGGAACGTCTGCTAAAAGCAGATGATCTAGCTAGCCGTTCTGTGTCGAATATTACGATATTTATTCGAAAAATAGAGGTTCGCGTAAAGGATGATTTTCTAGTTACCAGCAGACATTCCGTTTTGATAATAATATTAAGATATTTATTCGGAATATAGAGGTTTACGTAAGGAAGGCACCACTGTATTCACTTCTCAGATTGCTTAAAAGATAGCGTCCCCGTAGTTTGCTATTTCTCACAGCATTAGTTCCACTAATCCGTCTCTTCTTTTCTCTTTTGCATTCAGGCATGTGCATGTAAAAAATTTTCCGGTGCGATTTATAATTGTTAGATGCGCGGATGACGGCCATAAAGAGACAGACGATGCTTGTTAACCCCTAAATGGTATCATTCAGCTTTGGCAATTACAATTTAGGCTTTATTTACTATTAAGTTACTTAATTCTCGAATTTTCAATTAAATTTGATTTCATCGTTACATTCTCTATCGTGAATTATTCAATTCTGCAATTTTTAATTTAAGTTCATGTTATTATTGACTTCTGTCACGAAGGACGTCAAATCCCAAAGTAGATCACTTAATTTTGAAACTTTCGATTTGAATCGATTTCGTTACTAATCTCTATCAAAGGGAATAAGAAATAGAATGAAATACGCAAAATCCCAATAATCGAACCCAACGATAGCACTTAGGGGTTAATCTTCGTCTTGAAACGAAAACGAAAGGAGAGAGAGAGAGAGAGAGACACGATTATGCTTGGCGCTTGATCAGGCGAATAAGTCGAAGAAACGTGCGCGTTATATACAAGAAAAAAATGCGATTCGTTTCGTCGCCGGTGTCACGAGCAACGGCGAGGCTTCCTCCCTCTTTTTCCCCAAAACTTTCCAGGGCTAATCAGACAGCTTTGGCGATTGCGACAAGCGATAACGTAAACCGTAAAGCTTTCTCGTCCGCGACGCTTATCGTGCTACGTTTATCGCGTCATAACGGAACTAATCAGTTCCTTCGTTCCGAGTTTCTCCGACACCCTCGGAAGAGAATTCTGTTTTTCTCGTCGTATCGTCTTGGTAAAAAATAGCGATTAATAATGAGCGTACGTATATGTTCCTCTTAATATGAAATAGATATCTAATATATTATAATATGCGTAACATGCAAATATTTGGCGTGACTTCGGGGGATCGATAAGACAGGGACGACGATTTATTTATTTTTTTTTTTTTTTTAATGGGCAGAAACGCTTCGTGAACAATTTAAATAAAAATAGAAAAGAGAACGTGGCCCAACAAAAAGAAAAAAAAATTATATAAATTTTACAAATATTACTCGCAGAAATATTGTCGCTAAAAAAATTTGATACGCGTTAAAATTTCAAAAAAAAAATAAATAAATAAATAAATATTTTGTTCGTGATATTGTTTTTTCATACTACAAAGATTTCAAATAATTATATTCAACAATGTGCTCTTCTTTCTCGAAAACAAAAAAAAAAAAGAAAATCCGGGAAGTAAAGAATGCTCCAAACGTTTGAGCGGCAACGTAAATCTAGAAAGTATTCGCAACGAAGAGTAATAAGAGAGAGAGAGAGAG